CAAAAAAAATATTAAGGACAATCAGTATGAATTGATCTGTGAGTGTTGGAAACAAAATCCTATTGAAAGGATAACAATCGAAACAATAATTCAAAAACTTGAAATATTAAAAGATAATTAATTTATTATTTTGAATTATATTTATTTAACCCTTTTTATACAAGCCCTAATCTTTTTGCTTTCGCAACAAAGATTGTGAAAGCAAAATGCTCGAGGCTTACAACCGCGACTACAGCGATCGAATGAGAAAGTACTACGAGACGCACATCAAGCCGTCCTATCCACTCCGCAACGGCACGCTCAAGTACGTTATCAAGGTCCGGCTTCTCGAGACCTACACAAGCGAAACAACGAGGACACACATTCCTTCTCTTCGCGTAATCGAAGACAGGAAAACCCAGCACACAAGCTCATCAAGGTTTTCAGCGGCGACTTTGACCTGCAGAAGCACAGGCCGGTGGCAGCTCACGTGATGCGCGTCTTCGACGATATCACATTCGGGAAGCAGAGCGATAAGCTCATGAAGGGCCTGATGAACACATCACCGCCGACCGCCGCGAACGTTAAGTTTGACAATGTAGTTATGTTCCCTTTCCCGACAGTCGTCGTTTTAAACGCAAACAACTCCGTCCTGTTCTGTCAGAATTTCACGGACATGACGTGGTTTGTGAAGAATAGCACGTTCTTCCACAAGTCTGTGGGAGTACGTCGTTAACGGTCGTTTCTCAAAGGGAATTCCTTCGCAAATCGGCTGCGAGGTATACGACAAGAAGAGGTCGCTCCATCTCCTTACCGATGCGGAGTTGGTGGGTCCGGCGACTTTCGGCGTATATAGCGCACAGATGGTGGAATTCGCCCTCGCGGATTTTAACGTTCCATTCTGGATTAATCTCCAGAATGAGTTGCGGAAGCTATTACATTTTTAATCAAGTTGCCTGGGTGTCTCAAGTGCTTCAAAAAAACACCGGTATGGAGGAAGAAGATGGTGTTCCAAGTGAACGTGTATGTATGGATGAAGAAAACGACAAATGAGCTTGTATTCCACAACAACGATTGATGTGTGTTAATTCATGAAGTATTTATTATTCAACCAATTTCTTAATAACGAATCGTTTTTAATATTTGTTTTTGTTTCCATTTTCATGACATATCTCGTTATGGGGTGAATTCTTTGGAAACGAAAAACAATTTTTGTATTTCGTGTTCATCGTTCTCGTTCATAACACAACGTCATTAATTTTTTTGTTACTAACAATTCCAAAAATAAAAACTTCTTTCAATCTTATTCATTTTGAATGTACATTACAAATAAATAGTACAAAAAACCTTTTAAACTTTTTATAATTATGGGTAGTACAGGATACAAAAATACAGTATAAATTAATTTAATTTACTTCAAATTAACAATAAATTATAACCCAAAATGATATTTTTGTTGTAATTTTTTTATTTTTCCAATGAAGGAAACATGAAAACTTTTCTGTTATTTTTAAGTTTATTTTTTTAATTAAAAATTTATGTAAAATATAATAAACTATACAAATTTCAGACAGATGTAAAAGTGTGAATTTTCTGTTTCTGTCATCCTCAGAAAACGATTGCCGTTTTCAGAACTGTAAATTTGTTTAAAATATAAGTTAATATCAGAATGTAATTATCACCACAAAATATAAGTATTGCGGTTAATTCCGTTATTATTAAAATTAGAATAATTGCATAAATTACAAAGTTTTTTATAAATTTGTTATTTTTAAAATTGTATTTTAATATAATCGGTGTTGTTGACTTTTTGAATTTACAATTTAATTAAAATACAAACACGAATATATATGTAAAATTATTAAATATTTTGTTTTTTAAGACAGTTTTTGCAATAACCTCAATAAAAATTTAATCATAATATAAACAAGTTGAATTTACACTTTTTGATTTTAAGTACAATTAAATAAAAATAATAATTATTATTATCATTTTTGGTGATTTTTTATTATTTAGGTTTTTTAATAATTTATTACAATATTTAAAATTTGTATTTGTAATGTAAATATTAAATGTGAATTTTAACTTGAGTTGTAAGAGTTGGCATTATGGGGAACCGATCAACATGGATTTGTTTTTTGTATCATTTGAAAATTGTTTTTAATAAGAATTGTTTTGATCCTAATGAAATAAAAAAGTGTTGTATATTTTTGACAAGATGCTTGAGTTGTTTAGCTTTAAATTTCAATAATATTATCACAAAACATCAATACTTCAGGTAAAAAGTATTCCACTGTTTAGGACGATTTATAGAACCTCGTATACACTTTGTTTTGGTGGCCGAATTGTAATGTTGTAAGTTTAAAAACTAAAAATGATTTGTAACATTGTGGGATTTTCCAATGAGTTATACTCATCGTTATTCATTCATTTTTTTGATGTCAAATATTTAAAGTTTTTTTGGAGTTTGAGTAATGAATGATTTATTAACTCGCAAACTGGATGCGGAGACATTGAATTATTTGCCGATTTGATTTCGAAAAGCATTTTTAATTGAACACAATTATATGGTTATTGCTGTGAATGTAATAAAACAAAGAATAAAAACGTTGTGGAATGTTGTGATTGATTACCAAATTCATGTTATAACAGTGATTTTTCCTATTTTTAATATTCGAGTTTTTTTATAGATAAAAAAACAATAAACGAATAATTCCACATTTAAATATAAACATTTTATTTTTTAATATTTTATTGATTATCATTACAAATTGACATACATCATCGTAACCTCTTAATATCATATTAAGTTTTTTTTAATATTTTTAATTGTCAAAAAACAATATAATTTATTTTATAACATACACATCAAAAAAATCAAACATTTACAACAAACAAAACAAACAATCAAATCTCTGTATCAAATCATTTCCTACAACCGTAAAATTAAAACCTTATTTGTAATGAAATAAAACAAAAAACAGACACAAATATTATTATAATCAATCATTTTTAAAAAATAACAGTCACAGCATTTTTTGGATAAAATAATCAACTTTAAAAATAATAATTATTATGTTTATTAATACATTAAAAACTCATTTTGTAATAAAGTTTTTTGTATTTTTTATGCTAAAATGTTCAAATCAAATGTGTTTACCATTGTCTGTTAATTAATTTTTGACAAACTTTTTGATGGTATACCTTTGGTAGTCAATTTTGTCAGCCCGAAATAGAGCAATTTACAAAAAATGAAAAGTTTTGTGTAGTTTATATTTGGGTTTTTTCCCGCCTTTTAAATCTTTTTTATTGTGTTAATTTGAATGTTATTTCATTTCAACGATTTTTAAAACCGCCACGTCACCAATGTTTTAAGCATTATCTGCTATTGAAAAAAACGGACCAATCAAATGTGCATTTTTGTTTTGTAGAAGCCACCAGTTTATGTGGCATTTCAATTTACAAATAAAAAAATATAAACAAAAATATAAATAATGTGGAATTTTGATCAGTAATTACGGGATATAATACAATTATAATTATTTTTGTTTGTTTTGCCACAGAAAAACATTTTAATATATTGCTTCAGTTTTCCAATTTATATTTTTAAAGATAAACTTATATTGTAAGTTGAAAAATCACTTCCTTTCATTCAAAAAACAGTGTAAATTAATTTAAGTTTGTTATTACAAAAAAACAGTCGGGAAAATATGGAGTATATATTTTCAATTCAATATTAATAATTAAAAAATGTATTAAACATAATAATTTGTTTAATTAATTGTTAAAATTTCATTATTTAAATATGTTGATGAATAATTGTTCATTCCGAATGTAGTCGATATTATACCATACCAATATTTTCTGTGTTATTTATTAAAATCATTTTTCATTTCATTTCTAAAAATTTCAGGATATGTAATGTTTAAATAAAATTCCAAATCCTCTGTTGATCCAGGGCATTTTTCTAACAACTTTTTTGCATAACAAGATGCAAAAATTCCACATGAAATACCGTCTTTTTGTTGTTTAACATTTGCTTTATAATAATTTACATGTTTTAATTCAATCAATATGTTGGTAAGTTTTAAAGCTGTTTTTTTCTAGGTAAAGGTCATACAATTTGGATGTTAGCGAGTTTATTCCCACGATAATTTTATCAAATCCTCTAACAATGTACAACAGCATAAAATGCATACTATAGAACACTGGAAGTATTACACTTGTAATGTTAGATGAAATGTTATGTCATTTTTCAATAAAACGGGTTTCGTTAAAGGTGTGTCCATCAAAGTAAATCCAACTTAACATAGTTATAGGATTTTTCCATTCTATTGTGTTAATTTCATTTATTACATTTCTATAATCTTCTAAAATCCAAGTAGTCAACATTTCATTTGGATTATTTAATATTAAATAAGTGTCTGTGTATTTAATTTTTTGTATTTGCCAAAATTACATTTTGTTTTTCTATAGATTTGTTTTCTTTTTGTTTTATTGTTGCAACAACTTCCTCAAACTTGTTATTATTTCTTTCATTGCAATTGTTTAAATTCAATATTTCATAACCACATTTATTGTATTCAGTAAAAATGTCATCATTTATACCGTCTAACCAGAACCAGTCTCTACTCGAGCAATCTGTTAAATCACTTCGTATTGAATGATTGGTATCACATTTTTCCGAACTAAAGAAGTTGGTGTATAAATGTGGAATAAATTGACTCACTGTTATTTCTCCTTCTTTTTCGTTATCATCAACATAATATGATATCACTTAAACAATCACAATAATAACTTACATGAGTATTTGTGTTTGAAACTTCAAACTCTTTTGCATCATTTGGAAAGTGTACCTTTCTTTTGCACAAGTCCACCAATTTAAAAACATGATTATGGTATGCAAAGGTATCACTTTCCGTTATAATCATCAATCCAGCACAAATAATTATTTTAATACATGACAACATCTTCGATTATCAAAAGTTGCTGGCACTTTTAAATTATCAAAAAATTGGACTTGTTGAAGAGCTTTCTCAAAATCAATTTTTGAATTCATACACCTTTGAATATAAGATTTCGCTTGATAAAAACATTTTTAATTGCGTTTAGTTGTGGAGTATATGGTACATTGTAAGTCGCATATATACCACAACTCTCACACAATTTTTCTATTCCTTTTTTTATGAATACCCGCATTATCCAAAATAAAATTTACGAAGTTATATTTATACCATTTATGTACTTGTGGTATAAATACCTTTTTTAGACAATCAAGAAAATCTTCATTTTTTTAGTAGTTTCTCTGATTCTAAAAATTAATTTATGTCCCGGTGCCATCATTGCAATAATCATGAACGCATTCCTTCTGATGGTAGGAAAGATAATATCACAACTTTCTTCTATTTTAGATTTACCTTGAGTACGTGATATATTTGTGTCAATACCCGCTTCATCAATATACACAAAATGAAATTAAAATGTAATAAAATATCTATGTGTTGAGCATAAACATATCGTTGATTAATTCTTAAATCTGTGTTTCTTTGTAATGGTTCTTTTTTTATGTTTTTCTTTGAAAAGTTGTTTTTACGAATTATTACTTCAACACTACTTCTTGAAATTCTTCTATAAGTTTGGTTGGATCAATACCCAACAAACTTGAAACGTTTTTAAAATGAAAAGCTCTTTCTTTAGAAACTTCTTCAGAAATTATAGTGCTGTTTTTGAGGAAAATTTTCAATTTTATTAATGACCATATATATTGTATCAATATCAATTTTGGTGTTTCCTTCTTTTCTACCTTTTTTTAACCCATTTATTTTGTCGTTCGGACGATTAATTACACGTTTGACATCTCTGGGATATATATCAAATTCAGTGGCAGTTCTTTTTAAATCCCCCCAAATGTCATAATGAGTTTTTATAGAAATGTTATGACAAAATCTATTATATTTTTTAGGAGTTTCAAAAACAAATGGGTAGTTATTTGTTTTTTGTGTTGTTGTTGAAACAAGTTGTTGGGGACCTGATATTTCTTTTTAGATATAAACAGCTTTTTGTCTTGTTTTGAAATCTTTAAATGGTGCATCTTTAAAATGAAAATGTGCAAGTAAATTTTGACTAAAAAGGTGAAAGTTCAATAATATGGAATCAGAAGTAATTGGTAGAGTAAATATGTTATTATAATCGATGACTTGACTAATATTTTCAACCATTATTAATGGTAATACATTTTTATCAAAATTCGAAGGTGTAATATTGGTTTGTTTGAAATTCAATTGAAATATCTTTTTGTCGTGGCGATATTGTTTGGTTTTTGCTCAAATGATAGAAAAATGGATGGTCTTTCATTGCAACAAATTGGTTTATAAGTTTACCTTTTTAAGTTCATTTTTGGTTTTAAATTAATTTGAACGTTTGCAAATTAACAAATGTTTTATTATATATGTAAAAACCTTATTAATTGGGTGTTATTTTGTTACCATTATTATTGTGT